TAGATACTGTTATCACTCTGGTACAAGATGTCTCTCAAGGCATCTCTGATTAAGATACTCAGTTACTGAAACCTGCACCGCTGCATCACGCAAAATGAATGCCTAAATTTATAGAAACATGTAATGTTTTTCCAGAGTCCCATATAAGGAAACAAATGCCCATGGGGTTCTGTCAGTGAAAGAATTTGTTTGTGGGTTTAGGCAAGGAGCAGTGTTCAGTTGGTCAAGCCAGTCACAATGTGTATTTTTTTCAAGACCCTTTTGCTGGTAACATGGCTGATCTGCAGTCTAGCAACACTGGCTCTGTCTCTCATGCTCTATTTATAGAGCTGCAGCTAGAAGTACCACAGGACTGAGATTCTCAACAAAATCACAGTCACTGCTAAGGCTCCTTCTGACCGCTGAGCCTCGCAATAGATTGATGTAGTACAAAATCTTCATTTTAGAATGACAGAAATTGGCTGTGCCTGTTCCTGCACTTGTGGATGGCATGTGCACTTCTTCCATAGACCTGCATGCGGAAAAACAAAACTAGAAATAGGAAATCCTTGCTCAAAAAGTTACCCAAGCTTCCATTTCGATAAGTGTTATATCTGAACTTTTCCAGGGAGGTTACATGAGTGTTTTGTTTAGTAAAACACTGTTTTGGCAATTAGAAAATCTTGTGTAGCATACAGTCGCATCAAAAAGTTATGCAAACTGAAAATAATGCAGATTAATATATTAGCAGTTTATAGTGTTTATACTTACAATTTATTACGCTGGTCCAGGTGAGGTGCTAGTTTATGGAATGGAGATGGCTTGAAAATGGGGCAATTCCACCTGTAATAGGTAGAAGTATTATTAGTTACTTTCAAGCAAAAGTGGCAGCATTCTCAGCACCAGATGGGATGCATATTTAGACTGCTTACAGTTAGCAGTTAACAAAACTAAGAAAGTAAAGAATTTTGCAGTCAGGCTTTGCTTTACTTTCTAGACATTCTCTTTTCAGTTGAGGTCTGAAGCACTGAAGGGTTATGTGGGGAGACGGCAGCTGTGAGCAGCAGTAAAGGTGAAAACTGAGGAGAGACCTGAACATGAAGGGAGATGAGTGTCTGGTAGGGTTACCAGACCATAATCAGGAGGACTGACAATATAGAGGAGCAGAAAAGCATAAGACACCGAGATAGCAACAGAAAACCACCCCCAAGTAGTCATTAGAGCCAGGCTCTTTCCTCAGAGTTCAAGAGTTTGCACTTGACTGGTAAGCTCCCTCGCTGCAGAACAGCTTTTTTTCACCTAGTTGTCCTTTTTTTATATGCGTAGACAGATGACAGATATTGTAGAAACACTGTATCTTGCTTTGAAATCTTCCGGTGCTTAAACCTGGGTATTAGCTTCTGCAGTCCATAAAAGGCAAAGATGCATTCATGTTAGTCTTTTAGTTTGGTTGAGGAGCGTGCTTTTGAGCTGTATCTCCTTAACCTCCGCATTTGCTGCTCTTTGGTTCACACTGCTGAGCAGTCTCACAGCACTTGAGCTGCACAGCTTTTACACAGCACTAAAGCAGAGGAATTGCTCCAGGGGCACCCCTATACCAGACTAGATTAAGTCCAAAGCAAAACTCCTAAAAGACCTACAAGACCATCAGGTATTCAGTGCCAGGTTTTTGGTTGTTTTTTCTTTTTTTGCTCTGTAGTTCTACTCCTCTTATGTTACTAACTAGTACAGTGTAAGCAGAGATTCCTGCTCTTCCTATCCAGAGCTGCTTTCCAGCAGTGCACTAGTTATGGGAAAACTTGTTTTTTGCATTCAGAGGAGAGCTTAACTATACTGAACAGTGCTTTTATGTGAGCTAATCCTCCACTTTCTTCTCCTCTAATGAATTAAGCTTTGTCCCCCCCCCCTTTTTTTTTTAATTCAGAAGATTTTTCGCTCGCTGCAGTATCGCTCAGAGAGGCAGCAGTATAGTGGTAAGCAGCCTACCTTGATGAGGATAAAGTCTAGAAGGGTGGTAACAAGCATTCCGTCACTTCTTGTTAATGGTAGCACTAATTTCTTAAGCAAACGTTACCAAGATGAAATATGGACAAGGCACATGCTCCTGTGCAAGTAGGGACAATAAGGTTCTGAAGGACTCAACTGAAGAGCTTGTGTCAGGTGATGAGAGGTTAACAGAAAAGAATTTGTTATTCAGGTCACTTAATGAAAATAACCTTGGAAGAGCTTAGCAGAGCCCTTGGGGTAGACTAACTTATTCCTCTTCAGCTTCCATCACTGTAAGTTAACCCAAGACACAGAAGGTGGTGATCTAAACATGGACTCCACCTGTCAGAGTAGCGCAGGAGGAACATCAGCAATCACAATGCAGTGTTGTAATCTCTGCTACTCCTCCAGTGAGAATACGTAGAATGCAGCTTGCTTTGCATAGCCCCATCTTTAAAACAAGACAGTTTGTTAAGATGCAGGTTATCAAAATATCGTGCAAGAAGACAACAAAAGTATCCACCACAAGACATATAATTTTTAGCCACCACGGTCTTTGGATCAGCTGGGTATAGAAAAGAGAGAGGCCACAGCAGTCATCACGCACACTATCCCTGTTCTGTGTTATGGTGATTTGTTTTGCTGCTCAGCTACAATCAGAAATACGCTTCAGTCTCAGTGATTGGAGGCCTTGCACTGATCTGCTTCCAGACCCCAGGGAGCCCTTATGTCTCTGCACCACCATTTCCCTTCTTATCCCTTAATTAAAAGGGCTGCAAGCTGCCCAGGACCACATGCCTTCCACACAACAGCTGCCTGAGTCCTAACGAAGTAGTGCTGCATGTTTGGGATGAGGGCTTGTGATATGAGCCAGAATAAGGGATGAGAGATCACTTGATAGACACTGCCCATTTGATCTCAAACCTTGGGACAACCATTTTGAGAGCCCTAGATCCAGATTTAGAAAACCTCAAAAGTAGACAGGAGCAGACAAGATTACCACTATCCCCACCTGTAACATTACTACCTTGTCTGCAAGTGCCCATTTCATAGTCTGAGCAACATGAATACCTCATCTGTGTAAAGCTGAAAATCCTTTTCATAGCCCTGGGTACAATAACTTCCATGTAGGAAAACAAGATTAAATTTGACAGCAATAGGAGTGATAGAGGGGGGAAAGCGTTCTTCCTTTGAGGCAACGGCTCTGAATACAGCAGCCAGTGACTGACTGAAAGAGGAGGGGAAGAAAGATAAATGCAGTTATTCAAGCATCAGGGCTTAAAAAAATGCTTCTAAGAGAGAAAAAAAGACAAAACCTGCACCTATCTCTTGACATTTAACAAACCACCTAAACGAGCTAAGCAAAGGAAAAGAAAGTAAGTCAAAGACCTTACAAAGAGAGCTGCTTTCAGCTGTTTGTTACTAGATATCTTAAAACACATTTATCCAACCTTGCTAAGAGACTCCAAGCCCTCCATGACCCACAGCAAATCCTCACTACCATTCTTTTGTCTTCCCCATGAGCCGTATTTATAGGCTCCCTCCTGGCTGCCTCTGTAGGGACCAGCCTTGTTAGCAAAGCCTCTTTACACCTGGGTGTCTGTAGGCTGCCAGAGATTTAACTCCTCATGTGCTGCATCCCGGGTAGCAGACGCGTATTATTCCCCAAAAGACCTCTAGCCACCCCGTGAGCCCTGCTCCGGTAAATGACCCTGCGTCTCGGTGTGGTGCCGGCCTTCGGGAGAGTGTTGTGTGTTCTGAACAGGCTCTGTCCTGCTGTTGCGGCTGGGTTATGTCGAGGTTTATCAATCAGCCACAGCCCAGGAGTCTTTAGCTCTTTAGTGCTGTAGAGGCACTTAACTCCCAGGGAACTCGGATTCAGTGGTTAGAGGTTCACTGTCTCGTAACCAGTCTCACCGTATATCCTACAGGAGGATTTCAAACCGGTTACTTCATGCTACTTTACCGCTGCTTTACTTTTGGATTTTTGCAGACTGAGTAATGTTTCCTGTCATTAGGACTCTTTGACAATAGTTTCTCTGAAACGCCTTTGACATTTGCAAGGGGAAGCAGGCCTACTGTTCACCAAAACCAGCAATCACCCCTGGAGCAGCAGGATGCCAACTGCCAGGGCAAGAGTGGTGGGCACGCGAAGTACAGTATGCTTGAGTAATGATTAACACACAACAAAGAGAGCTGCCTGTGTTGCAAATGGGAACACACTGCGTGCTTGGGATGTAAGAGCATTTTGGTCTAATTTTGCACTCTGCATATAGTAATAAGACACAACAGGGTGTGCATTAAGCTCATCTTTTGAGAAGTGCAACAGTAGCTGAATAATGCACACCCTGGAGTGTCTTATTTGTAGTGGTATATGGCTCATTAATTTTACATTTAAATTTTTTCAAACCCTTTTTTAAAAAAACACAGATCTATTCTGAGGGCAGTTATGTAATGTATCCTTCCACTGAAAAGTATTTTCAAATAAAAACAGTGGGGAAAAGGTGAGGAAAAGCTTTGCTCAGCTGCAGGTCAGTGTTTGGTTTGGTTTGTGTAGGGCCTGCTACAAGCAGGTTCTTGGCTTGCTAATGCAGATATAGAACAAAAATGATGATAGTTATGGACATCTATTCAGTGTTCACTTTTTTCTAGACTTTCCTTTCTTTTTTGTGCAATTACCTGGGCCTTTTGTCTTCTTTTTTTCCTACAGAAGTTTGCCGTTTGATATATGAACCAATACCCATTTTAGAACAGGTTCACGTGTAAAGCATTCAGACGGGGATGTGACTGACTTTTATACCAGACTGGGAACTGAATGATCACGGGTTCATGCTCGGGAGGCAGACAGGTGTGATTTGGATACAAGACGGTTTTGCCAGAATAGCAGTGTGTGTATGTGCATGGATACAATAGGATTTAAAAAAGAGGATGTTATAAAAACTCTGGTTACGACATCACTTCAAAAGTAGGAAGGAGGAACATCTGATTCCTGCCGTTCCACATGAAATATGACTTTGGTTTATCCCTTTGTATAGGTTCCAACCTTGATGATGGACACCCAGTTTTCAGAATTCACTCCAGATATCACCCCAATAATGCTGGCGGCTCACACCAACAACTATGAAATCATCAAACTGCTTGTCCAAAGACGGGTGACAATTCCACGCCCACACCAGATCAGATGCAACTGTGTGGAATGTGTATCCAGTTCGGAGGTGGACAGCCTGAGGCATTCCAGGTCAAGGCTGAACATCTACAAAGCCTTAGCCAGCCCTTCGTTGATTGCCTTATCAAGCGAGGACCCCATCTTGACGGCCTTCCGACTGGGCTGGGAGCTGAAGGAGCTCAGCAAAGTGGAAAATGAGTTCAAGGCTGAATATGAAGAGCTTTCACAGCAGTGCAAGCGTTTTGCTAAGGACCTTTTGGATCAAGCACGGAGTTCCCGAGAACTGGAGATCATTCTCAATCACAGAGATGATCAGAGTGAAGAGCTGGATCCCCAAAAATGTCATGATTTGGCAAAGCTAAAGGTAGCAATAAAGTATCACCAGAAAGAGGTAAGAGTCATCTAAATATGAAGGTGTACGAAAGCTTCATCTGTGTGGTAAAATGATTGATTTCTCTAGTCTCCATGGGTTTGTTCAGGGTTGCCAGCTGAGACCCAGCAGGAGAGAGCTTGGATTGAGTGGAGAACCATGTGCAAAGGGGTTAGTCACAAACCTGGAGGTTCAGTGCATCGTGGTGACAGCGTGAATGTGATGACAGTTGGAGGCAACAGGACTGGGACTTGCTGCAGTGGGTTATGGCCTGTACGGCACCAGCACTTACTGTTTCAAAGATAATTGAATCCTGTTTCGTTGTAACCCATCCCCCTGCAAAGAACAGCCTTCAGAGATTTCCAGGTGCCTTAGCTCTGAAAGCTTTTCCCAGTAGCTGCTTTTATACTGGAACCAAAATCTAGGAGAGGTTGCCTGGCTCATGAAGGTCTTGAGTGCAGGAAATAATATAATATACAATTCACTTCCTTCAGCCACCAAACACTTGCTAGCACCCATTCAACGCTAACTCATAAGGGCCAGAGAAATGACAGCAGCAAAAGTGAGCAGGAGAGATCAAGAGGACTCTCACTGTCCCAGGTCTCCATGTTACCAGCAATTTTCTTAGGTGAAAATGCCCACGTGATGATAGGAAGTGGATCATGTCATGCAAATACTTCTTCACACCTGACACACCTCAGGCTGATTCTTGCTTCTTGATTCAGCTGTTTTTTAGGAATGGAGGAGCAATTCCCAGAAATTCAAACTTCTGCCTATAAAACCGGAAAGGAAAGCCATACTTCAGCTAAAGGGCACAGAGCCTTTCAGAAGCCCTGCAAATCCAGAGATTTATAAGTTGATTCAATAAAGGCCACGAACCCAAGGAGAATGCTGACAACAGTTTCATTAGTTGGCTCTGGATTTTCTTTCTCTTTCCAAACCTGGACAGAATTTAGTAGATGATATATTACTGTTGGCCGGTGATGTGCCAGGTTATCTGAAGGAGGAATTTAGCCTCCTTGGTTGAGGAACAGAATTGCAGTGTCTGTTACATGCTTCTGTGTCCAGAGGGTGACAGGAGTGGCGGAAAAGCCTGCCACATTGCTCTTTTCACTGTCTTCCCTACATTTGATGCATTTTTTTATGCACTGACCCAGATGAGGACAGCCTGGTATGATACATTCCACCTCCCTTCATGGTTGCTCATGTCATCCGAGGTAAAATAACCAAGAAGTGAAAGATGCAGATTTTCCTTTCTTCCCTTTGGTCTGGTACACCTCCTGAGTAGCAGTCCCTTGGTGCAACAAGCTGGAGCTGAAGCCTCAAGCTTTCTGGCATCTAGCATGTGGCTACTTACTGCTCTGACTGGGCTACTCCCGTGAAGTGTCAGGCTCACTGGCCTTCATGTCAGGTTGTGGCTTTTACTCTAGCTGACAGGGTTAGGTAACACCAGGTGTGCTTTAGGGACATGAAGAAGTAGTGGAGAATTGGTCTGGAGAAAGGTAATACAATATATCAGGTTAGATGTTCCTTGAATCTAAGAAGGGCCAGAAACTCTTCTCTTTTTTTTACTGGCCTGATAGCCACAGGCGCTGCATTCACGCACACTCTTCGGCAGCCGGGACACCGCTGGCACTGCTGTGTGTGGGTCACTGCTGATTTCCGTGTCTTGTCACAGTTCAGGCTCACTGTTGATATCCAAGCATACATCTGGGACTACCCCTTATCTTGTGTTCACATTGAGAAGCTGCAAGTCTGAAGGAGCTCACTGTATTTGAAATGCGGTACTAAACAGTCCTGACGCTCTTTTGTTTTAAAGTAGCAAATTTTTAATCTTTGCTTGGTTGCTTGACAGTTTTTATTTCTTTTTTTCTAGGCATATTTGACTGAATTCCAAGCATATGGACAAATTCCATGTTTTGTGACATATTCATGACAATTCCAGCATATAAATCATAGCAAATATGCTCTGTGTTGCCAGCTAAAGTCAGTGCTGTTTCCAGGTAGAATACTGGTGGGCCCGGACAGAATGAGTGAGTTTGGGAAGCCAGCGCTACTGAACCTCCTCATCCTACCTGTTTATTCACAAATACCTGATGCATCCTGCAGGATGGTGTTTGTATGCAACAAAATATTGCAGTGGTTTTCGTATCATGATAATTAGTCCAATATAAAACATCAAGCAAGATATACATGTTATTGACAGCTTCTGAAAAAAATGAGTAGGAACATTTGTCAGGGAGACACTGAGAAGTGCCTTTTAATCATGATCGAAGAGTATCAGACTGAGAGAATTTTTGTGGGGAACAGGAAGGGAAATAGAAACAAGTTTGGGTTTGTGAAAGACGGTTCTGCAGAGAGAAGCAGCAGACTTTTTAAGAGCAGGTCTTGTGCTGCTGAGGTTTTTTATGTCTGAATGTTGTATGGGATTGGATTGGATTGGCTTGGCTTGGCTTGGCTTGGCTTGGCTTGGATTGGATTGGATTGGATTGGATTGGATTGGATTGGATGGAGAAGCTTCTTATATCTTAAAGTTCACAAAGTTGGTAGTCAAATCTCTAGTAGCCTGAGACGAAAATCCAAAGTGGACCGTAGTTATTTTCTGGTTCTGTAAATTGTTACCACAGTTGTTAGTTCTTTATATTCAGTATTAAAGAATGCATAATCTCACATTGATTTTGGATTAATTGCTAGACAAATTTCCTGCAGCTTTTTTGTTTTTGAGTGAAACAAACCTCAAAATTTTCCCCAAATTATGAAATGATTCCATATCAGCTTAATTGAACAGATACATTCAAGATTCTTTCTAGAGGAGAAGTTATTAGTAAAGAGATCATTGCCTTTGGATGGAGGAGCAGTACTGTGTGTTCTGGGTAGGGAGTAGATCTGAAAGTTACTTTTTCTTTGTACCAGCATAAGTGATCTGGGAATTCAAGAGTACTCTTCACCAGACACATCATTCAGTGTTCTTCTCCCCAAGGCAAAATGCTGAGGCATTTTGAAATTCCACTGTGGAATTAGCTGCATCTTTTGGCACCTAGCTACTGGAGAAAAATCTGATCTTGTACATGAAGTTTTAGCAAACAATTAGCCATCAGTCCTGCCAAGGACACAAATCCTGGTTCACTGCACTGAATCCGGTAAACATACTCATGGTAAACACAACTTCATCTTTTGATCTGGCCTGAGTGCCTCAGTCTTCACTGTGAGCGACCTGGACGAGGGCTGGACTAGTGAGGGGAACCGCTTCAATTCAGTTCTGCCTCCAGGGAAATACTGGCCTCATCACAAAGGCTCCACCACAGTGTGTAGCCCCAGGTGAATCCCACTGCCCGTGCATTTCTGCCTTGTGACAGCGATACGGTTTTCATCTTTACAAGAGTAGAAAAATCTCACATTCTTTTTTTTTTTTTTTCAACAAAAAAGCCTGGTAGGTACAAGTTTTGATTTCTCCCAAACATGACATGTGTTAAGTAGTTTATAAACTGGCAAACGTGTCACTCGTGAAGAAGACGACCTTTTTCCTTTGGAGGAGGGCCAAAACACTGGAGAAGAAATTTCTTGCTTTTCATGTTTGTTTTTAATAAGCCCATGTATCCTAAAAGGTAAATTACTGTTTATACGGAAGAAAAAATTGCAGTTTTACAGGAAAGATTAAAATGTGCCCTAAGGTAGCTTTGTAGTGTATTTTATGGTAGTATATGTTAAAACCATGCTGTGTACTGTTCACAAGCTTTCTCTCCATCTTTTCTTAAGTGTAGAATGGTTGTGTCCTCAGTTTCAAATTACCAAAGGGCCTTGATCATTTCTTTAGATGATAGGAAGGATTTAGTGGTTGTGATCACTGTTTGCATGGCGGTCACAAAATATTAGAAAAAATGAGGACAGCTCTAGTACACTGTGAAACATGATGAGGTAGATCTAGCTCAGACATGTCAGTTTTCTCACTCAGCTTTCAGAAGAAATTATTTCCGTAGGATCGCAGGAATTCATGGTCTAAGAGAGAAGTAGGCTTTTCATTCTGTAGTGTGTGGCATCTGTCTTCATATTATTACTTTTCAAATTCTTTTATTCATGACTAATTTCGCAAGGAGAAAGGTGCTGAAGACTTAATAAGAAAAGGCATAGCTCAGCTGTTGGGGCTCAATCTTCACTATGTTGTTCTGGCGCCAAATTAGCTCTGCATTTGTTAATTTGTTTGCATTTCTAAGAAAAGATGGGGAAAAGTCATCTCTTAGGATCTTGCCAGTCACGTAAAGCACAGTTATATGTGCGGTGTACCAACACTGTGTTGGAGAATCAGAGCATAGGCTAAATGCAAATATAATTTTTGTGTCCTTTAAGGTTTTTTATGTTGCCAAAATGTTTTAAAGCAACCATAGTGTAGCAGTGAATCAGGTCTAAAAGGGCAGATTTCTCCTTGTAGATGACATTCTGCTAAGCAACAAGAATGGCAGTGTACATTCAGCCTATTCCTGCTTTCCTGCTCTCCGTCACAGGTCATTCACATCTTCAAAATGAAGTGAAATATCACAGTAGTGGGGTTTTCGTGCCTTGCATTTTTCTGGCACTGATGGTTGTGGATGTGCAGGTTTAGTTTATATGTCTGTGAGAAACACACACAATGCAAAGCACTCAGAAAAAAATGCATTTTACGTATGACTATATTGCTTAGCACTTTCACTGAATTAGATCAAAGGTGTACATGAAATTCCCTCTCAGAAACCTTAACCTTAGTCTTTCTTACTTGGTGTACTCTAAATCAATGACAGGAAAGGAGAGAAGTAGAATTGTTTGCTTTTCTAATTTAAAAACAGTGCTCTTTGCTGTTTTCTTTTCAGGATGAAGCTTCAAAAGTTTTAGTTCTTTTTTCCCGAGACATTTACATAGACAAGTACCTCCTGAGATACAGTACTGGAGTGAATGAGTAATCATTCCTGCCATGCCACGTATTTTTCAGCTGCGTCTTGACTCTTGTCAACTGTGTGGCTGCAGTTAGAAGCATAGCATCATTCTCCAGG